GAGCACTGGCTGCTCTTGCAGAGGACCCAGGTTCGATTCCCAGAACTCATATGGCTAACAACCTTCTGTAATTCCAGGGGCTCCAACACCCTCTTCTGACTTCCATGGGGCATTGGATAACACAATGCACTTATGTACATGCAGGCAATACACTCATACCATACACATAAAATAAATAAATAGTTATAATAGCTGTAAAAAAAAGATTATATGGTTTTACATTAAAATTCTAACAAATTACTATTTTAATGTAAATGCCCATTTAAAAAATACTGAAAGGGAAAATTTAAAGTTCCAGTGTGGTTTTGTCAGTGTTTCATTGACTTCTTGTACATTGAAATTCATTAGTAGATGAAAAGGATGAACACTGGAATGTTATACAGCCTTATCTCTTCAAATCAAAATTATTTTTATATAATTAATAGGGTAGGGGTAGAGAGGTGACTCAGCAGATAAGACTGCTTATTGCTTTTCCAAGGAACCAGAATTCAGTTCTCAGCGCCCACATTGGGTGGGTCACAACCACCTGCAATTCCAGCTCTAGGGGATCTGACGACCGTGGCCCCTTCTGGCCTTTGAGGTCACCTGCACACATGTGCACATCGTTTAAAAATAATAAAAATAAATCTTTAAAAAATTATTGGGTAAATCATCAGCTTCTACTTTTCTAGAAAATTGAGTACTGAACAACCTCTATCTGAGCCTATCATATGAAAATGAGAGTTTACTGAACAATCTCTGGCATCACATCTTGTACACAATAGCTGCAAACATCTGAAATTTTAAGAACGAATTCTAATTTCAAGCAATTCTAGACCAAAAGTGGCATTTGTAGAGAGTTCAGATACATGAAAATAAAATAATCCAAATGAGTCATTTAATGTGTGCCCTGGAGGTCATTTTCTGATAGTTATCAATGAAACCGGTATGTATCTCGGAAATGTGGGGCTGAGAGAATTCCTTGACATAATTCTTTCACATAACTGTGTCTGGTATTTGAACATAAAGCATTTCTATTCACATGCATATAAGTATTGATCATCAGCACCTACACATGAGATCACTCACATATGAATTAACTCTGATTCGCCTCACCAACTGATTTGCATATAGTATCGTACAGATATTTACAAATACGCTTCATTATGTATGGACTTTTTTCTAGGTCTCTTTCTTGCTTGACTAAGAATACCAAGGATGTCCCCCAGTGCTCACTTGAAGACTGATTTAGTCACACTAGCAAAACCCCGGGCTCAAATGTCAAATGGGATCAGCTCAACGCTGTACACTAATCATGCTACTACAATCTTTGTGCTGCAGATTCCTTATCACAGCAAAGGTAAATGTTTAGTGATTATGCTTTTTGTTAACTCCCCAGGTGGGATTTTTTTTTAACCTCTGTATTTGAAAAGAAGGGAAAACTGAAATGTAGCAGTGGCGGATGCCTGCAATCCAGAGTTTCATTAGTACAGATGAAGCAATGTTTGCTTTGTTACACAAATAATTAAAGAGATTAAATGAAAATAAACACTGAAAGGAAGTTAGGTAATTATTTTAATGACTCTAGCGACTTCCACCAACCTTCATTATCAGCCACAGATCAAATTTAATTGTTTTATGTAAGTACATCATAAGCTATAGGGAAAAGTACTATAACTACTCGGTGCTTTTCCTTCATAAAAATGGCATTTTCTTCATCCTGTCATCAACAGTTGTTTCCATTCTAGCACTTGATGAACCATCTACATATTTTAAAGCATTATCAATTTTTACACATAAAAGCATACTTCTAGTCTTGATTTTTGTTCTTTCAATGGGCATTCTTAATAACTTTTGTATTTTGTATCTTTACTTAGATTTGATCATAAGTGATTTGGGGCCACATTTCTGAGTCATTGAATGTAAAACGATTTGGCATATTCAGCCATTTGAAATAAATGTCACTTAGAATCATGTCATCTTTACCACATATGTTCTGTTTGGGGTAAGTTGATTTTCCCTTTCCTTGTCTCCCTATACCAATTTAGGAAGAGACTCCCACCCACACCAGCTGGGATCCCCTTTCCTACCAGTCAGGGCACTATTGCCAGTTCTGTTTAGAAAATACTTTTTGTTTCACATTCATGTGATTATAATTCATGGTGTTCCCCTGGGTTCTTGATCTCGATGCTACACACTAGTTCTTCTGGAAAATAGTTTACTTGCCTTACCCCATTTAGTCCTTCGAGATTCCCATGGGGTATATATTATTACCCCTTTTTCCAGATAAGGAAGCTGAGCCTGTGTGAAGGAGACCTGGGAGAGACCACAGAGGGAAAGGCAGGAATGAGAACAAAGAATAATGACACGTATATATGAAGACAACACAAACCTGAAAAATAAAAATAAAGTTCGCACAAACAGACTTTCAGAGTCTCACTGGCTTTCTCAAGCTGTACAAGTAGGAACTCCTCTGTCTGGCAACCAAACCTTCTTTTCCCTGAGTCCAAGAACCATGATAACCCCCAGAGATGAGATTAAAGCTGAGTATAAATATTAAGGACAAAAAGAAAAAATGGAGACAGTCCTTGAGGTATGAGATATGACTTGATGGTGAACTCCATACACTGGCTAACATTTCAAACTGATGCCATTTTGTATTGCTTTTCAAGCTAGTTCTGGTTTTCAGACTACTCTTGGTTCCTGGAAAAACACTATTAGGAATAGGCTTTATGGTATGGTGCTTCTAACAAAGAGATTCCCCCACTCACAAAGGTTAGTGATGCTTTTTAGTGTCATTGACTAACCACCGAGTTTTATTCCTATCACAGGGCATTCTGTCCAACCAAATTTAAAATGTCCAACAGAATAAAGGAGACTTCGATAACCTCCGGTAGGAGAAGGGATTCTGTAGATTTGTGTGCTGCCTTCTAGCATTTAAGAAAAGCTTGCACTGACTCCCTCCCTTCCTCCCTCCTTCCCTCCCTCTCTATGCAGACATGCACACCAAGCCAGGCCCAGGGCAGGATTTTCTGAGGTCCACTGAGTGGGGAGTCTGCTTTAGAATTTAGGATGCGCCACTCTGCAATGCTTTGAGTTCTGGGTGACCCTGTAAGATCGAACAGAAGGCTAGGTGGGGGGCCGGAATGTTTGAGATCTCACTCTTAGGGTTCAGAATCCGAGTCGGAGTTAGGGAATTTTACAGAGACACAATGTCAAATACTGAACCCAAAGTGCCCTTAAGGATAGAGGTGGGAGAAGACGAGAGACAGAATGGGGCATCTCCCCTCTTGCTCTGCTTGCTCCCTGGGAACGCTCACACTCAGAAGGATTTGTGAACAAGACAGAGAGGCAGAACCCCAAGGAAGACAGGCTCAGAAATAATTTCTCTTCGGCGGGTGTGTGGGAGGAGCTTTGCTGATGCTCCCTGGGACTTGCCTCGAAGTCATGGGCCCTTCACTGAGAGCCTGAGGTTCAGCTTATAGGTCCACTAGAGAGGAGTCCAACAGTTTTGTTCGTTTGGGGTTTTTCTTTGGTTTTTTGTTTTTTTCTTTTGGTGTCTCGCAGACACTACCATGTGTGCCATCCTCCAGCAGGTTTGGTTTGATGGCACTATGTGTATTTCTAGGAAAGCCAATCACTCCCAGCCAGGCTCTGTGATCAAGCGCACAGCGAGGAAGCTGCAGGCTATACCCAGGGGGTCCGTACTTTATTTCCATTTAGCCACTTGCCACTGACCGTGGGGAAATTCCTTTAAATTTTGAGCCTCCTTTTTCTTTATCCAGAAAATAAAGGTAATCCCACTTCCCCGGGGCCTCCCGGAAAAGCACTGGGAGGGTCACACGGAGTAATTCCGGTGGCAGCAAACTGCGAGGGGCTCTAAAAACGAAGAAAAATAAGTTAAACATACTCAGCTGGAGTTTTAAGAAATTTCTGCCTCAGAGGTCTAACTGTGGCCAGGCAGCGACGGTTTGGATTGATTCATCCTTATGGGCTGCTTCACATACCAAACACCTACGTGGAGCACCCCTCCATCTCTGTGGGCTTCTATTGATTTCTGCTTTGCAAGAGAAAGTAGGTTTTCCTGTCGAGGTTCTGAACATCAGCCCGGCAGCTGGGAGTCAGGGAGGGAACCCCCGTGCCCTCTCTCGCCTCCCTCCTTCCCCGACTCCTCTCTCCAGGTCTCTGGAGTTGTCCGCACGTGAATGGGTTTTCCTGGCATCTCCAAAGCCCTTGCAGCATTTTAGAGAACTGAGACCGCGCGGAGAACAGTGAAGCAGCATCCCCGGCTCGCGCAGCCCTGCAGGGACCGCTGGCCGCCGGTTTTCACCTCCCGGGCTAGTGGCTGGGCAACCGGCGCAGAGCCGGCAGAAAGCCGGGCCCCTCCGGCTCCGCCCCGCAGCCCCTCTCCGCCAGTAGCAGCGCGGCTGTCTTCGCACAGGAGGACTGGGAGGACGCTGGAGTCTGCAGCGCCCCCGCCCCTTGGCTTTTTCTTTCTTTCCCTGCTTTGGGATCTTGCTGTCGGGAGCCGGGAGAGGTTCTGAGAGAAGAAAAGAGCGAGAGGGGCCGGAGCGCAGCTTTCTGTAGCGCGAACAGGGCTAGGACGCAGCATCCTCGGCGACCACTCCGTATCGCAGCATCCCTGGCTGACATGTGATGAAGGAGAGCCCCCAGCATCAGCCGCCTTCGAAGGGGTCCCCGAGGACGCCAGGAGAGCCCGCAGCGACTCCGGACAGGAGCGCAGAGGCACATTAGGCTGCGAGGTCCAGGCTCGGGAGGGAGCGCAGAGGGCATCGCCGCCTTGCCCGCACTCTAGGCAACTCTGGGGCCAGCAAAGTGTGGCTGGACTGAATCCAGATTCCCGTCGACTTCACCCAGCGTGCCGGACAGCCCCTGCCCGCCGACCTGCACCGCCTGGAGTTCTCGCTTGCCCCGCATCTGCGCGGATCTCCCACGCTCGGGTCTGCTCAACACACGCGGTTGATGGAGAGGGCGCCCGCAGCTCCCTGAGTGCAGTGGCCGCCGCCGTCCAAGCTGTGCACCGGGTGCCCCCGACTCCCGCTGGGGGGGTGTCTAAGACCCTGGGGAGCGCGCACCATGAAGTCCGTGCTGTGCAGCCGCTTCTTCATCCTCCTCCCCTGGATCCTGATCGTCATCATCATGCTCGACGTGGACCCACGCAGGCCTGCTCCCCCCATCACTTCGCGCCCCTATTTTTCTCCCCACACACTGGGCTGCGGGGGCTCCCGCGTCCCGCTCCGCCGGAGCAGCCCGGTGCGCGACAACCTGGAGAAGCGCAACGAGTCCCGGGTGCAGTCGCAGCCCCAGCCGCCGCTGCCCACCATCTATGCCATCACGCCCACCTACAGCCGGCCGGTGCAGAAAGCCGAGCTGACCCGCCTGGCCAACACGTTCCGCCAGGTGGCGCAGCTGCACTGGATCCTGGTGGAGGATCGCGCCACGCGCAGCGATCTAGTGAGCAGCTTTCTGGAGCGGGCCGGGCTGCCCAACACGCACCTGCACGTGCCCACGCCGCGGCGCTATAAGAGGCCGTGGCTGCCGCGTGCCACCGAGCAGCGCAACGCCGGCCTGGCCTGGCTGCGCCAGAGGCATCAGCACCAGCGTGCCCAGCCCGGCGTGCTCTTCTTCGCGGACGACGACAACACCTACAGTCTGGAGCTCTTCCAGGAGGTAGCATCCCTGGCCACGCTGGGACACAGGGGAGGTGGGGCTCCTCCGAGGGCCGGCGGAGCTGGGCACACATCCCCCCCTGCGTTTCAGATACACCTTTGAGTTTTCAGTTCTCCGGAGCTCAGTGTGGAGCGGCCCCTTCCTGACAGTTCCCAGCTTGGCCTGGTTGGCTGGCATGGGTGGAGAAGGGGGACCGGGAGGTGGTGAGTAGGACAGGTGTGACCCAAGTGGGGGAAAAACTCTGCCCTGAAATTTGCTGTCCCGTCCCAAATTGGGCTCAGAAAAGAGCACCCGTGGTTTGTAGGTACCTGGCTCTGGCAGGCTTGATGTATTTGGAGGTTTTCAGCACCTACAGGTGATTCTGAGTGGAGAAACGTGTAGGAGGAAGGTAACCAAAACTGAGCCCAGAGACACACTTCCTCTGGTACAGTCAATCCCCTAGTGTGAAATGGTCATTAGTGTAAACAGTGACTTCTGTGAGGTGTGCCTCTGTGTGTGTGTGTGTGTGTGCGTGTGTAGAGGGGTCTTCTCTCCATCTCTTCCGAGCACTCCACAAAAGGGAGCTCTCTGCCCCAGAAATTGCCCCCCTTTCGAGAAAAAAAAGTCTTTAGCAAATGAATCAGGATTGTGACATTATTTAAGCCTTCTGGCTGTCGAAAACATCATCCGGCCTACCTGACCCCTTTTCTGGAGCTTTCTCTGAGGCTTCTCTGACTTGGAGAGTTTGTTAGGCTGCACTTGCTTGGAGGCCATTGTTTCCTGATATTCTCTAAGATTACCAGTGCATACCCGCGGCCCCCTGCTGCTGAAAGGAGCTGTGTTCCCCAGAAGGCCACAGGCACCTGGGTTAGAACAGGTGGCTGGCAGGTGTTGAGGTTGATGTGGTGATGATGGGCGGTAAAAGAGACTGAATTTAGAGGGGTTTTATCAGTTTTCTTCCAAGCACAGAGTTACTGTTGAGCAAAGTCTTCATTTCTTTGACCTGTGGAACTGTTGTCTATCTCCACTTGGTATTTCTTGACATCCTACCTGCAAAGATTCCTCCAGCTCCTCCTCTCCTCCGGTAAAATTGGACATTCAGAAAATACTCTCTGAGTAGGACACTGAATTCATAAAATCCATGTCTAGTGATCAATACCCTAATTGGCTCCCATCCCACACTTTTGTCCTAATCTCAGTTTTGCTTTCTTAACCTCAGGGTGGCTCTGTACCTTGCCTGTTTAAATTTTCTCTGTGTGATTTTCAAAATCTATTTTTAAAAAGTTTATCAGCACCTTCAGCTCTACCCTTTCTTTTATGAATAAAAGGCACAGTAATTGTCCTCCATTTCCTCATTTCATGGGACTTGCTTTTCATGTTTCCCCAGAGAAATAAGCTTGGTAATATACAGCATACCCTTAATATAGCCACCACTAGAGTTACCAACTGATTGTTTTAAAACTAGGTTTTTAAAGAAGTTGAGCTGTTCTATTGCACTTTCCTTGAAGTGTTGTGTTCTTTCAGTGTTTGTTTATTTTAAAACCAGGTCATCTTTCTTGCCCAACTTGGAAGTTGGTTTCCATATGAAAAGGTGTGGTCTTGTTTAAGAAAAATGATGCATGTTGTTGTTAACATTTGAGGGCACTAAATTGGGACGGGGGGGCAGGGGACTGCATTTATCCCAGTGTTCAGTCTGTTGGCATGCTGTGTTAGATGAGTCGAAAAGTTGGCACATACAGGCAGTGAAACAATTCAGATACAGGCTCCCTTTGATGCTTTTGGGTGAAAGGAGGGTTTGTTGGTAGAGGATATTAAGGAGCAGGAAAAAAAACAGTGTTTCTTTCCCCCACTGGTTTGTGAAGGGAGTTTGTGGCACAATAAAAAGAAGAGAAAGGAAAAATAGCATTGACAAGAGAAAATTATGGACAGAAACCATGTAAAACTTTTCATACAGATGGAATGATAAAGTAATCAAAAGTTTTAAGAACATGTGTGACTTTATGGAGAGGCACCAGCTATAAAAAACACACAACAGAGTTGTGGGTTTTTTGTTTTTTGTTTTTTGTTTTGTTTTTTTGTTTTTTTTTTTTTTTTGTTTTTTTGAAACGTCTTTTTGAGACAGGGTCTCCCTGTAGCCCCAGCTGTCCTGGAACACACTATGTAGACCAGGCTGGCCTTGAACTCACAGAGATCCGCCTGCCTGTGCCTCCCAAGTGCTGGGATTAAAGGCGTGCAGCACCACGCCCGGCAACAGATTCGTTTTTAAGGGAAACATTTGGGACACTCTATCTCCTGGATATTACACGAAGACATCAGTCACATGACTAGTATGTTTCCCCACCAGTGTCCCTTTCTCTTCCCAGCTGTAATGTTTCTGCACAGATTAGGCTTCCCTTCATTAATCTGTGATGCACATTTTGCTTTCCTCGTTGCAGCCTTTTTTCCTTGCATGGCAAACATCAGTGAGCTTGATTAGTGGAGTTTATGCATCCTCAGTCTCGTGTGTTTTCCAGAATTTGAAGTTTATTTTCCTTTAAACCCTTAGTTTTGTTGATGGGGTGGCTCACCTTACACCTGCTCTGGAATTAATGAGTCTGTGTGTGGTACAGTCTAGACACTGTTTCCTTGGAGAAAAGAGAGCCCCATAAAACACCCAAGCACTGCAGCTCCTTCTGGGAAGGTGGGGATCAGGGAGGCTGCAGAGTTGAGGCGGTTATCTCAGCCCTTTATATTGTACAGGTACACAAATTTGTTTTTAAGTAATTCACAGTACCTAAGGAAAGAATGTCCTGAGTCAGGTTTCATCTTTTATTCATAGTGCTTCCAATTTCCACAGTTGATGTTAAAATAGATAAGATAAAAGGAGAAAAGTGAACCAGGTACAAATTAGCTCCCTAAGTATTGGCTGCAAATGAAGGAAAGTGAAGGATGAAAGGTCTCCAAATTAAATTAAAGACGCAACAGGCAATCTGCGTTCAATTATCCCTCCCTGATAACTGGAATAGAGCTTTTTTTATTTTTTCCCCTCCCATACATCTAATTTTCAGCTTCCCTTTTCAACCAAGCTATGCTGCCAGAAAAGAAATATTTGCACTGAACAATCCTATGTGAACAGCCAGATCCTTTTGCAAATGAAGCTGTGAGTCATAGACTCAAAAGCTGTCCACCCAGAAAGAGGTGGTAGGGTTTTTGTAGGTCTCAAATACCAACTATTCCAGTCTTCTGTGGGCATTGCTGGGTTTTACACAATGGATCACTGGTAATCCTGCCTGTCTGACCATCCTATTGATCGAGCTCTCTGACAAAGTTTATTTGCAAAGGATCTAAGCTGTTTTAATAAAAGCCACAAGTACAGATAAATGTGAATTTATATCTAGTCATATTTTCAATACCACTATCGATCAAGATTTCTGTTCACTACAAAACCTTCAAAGTGTTCTCAAGTTTAAAGTGAATGGTTTTCAGCTGAAGTTTGTTTCACCTTTTGAAATCAATTGAATAGAAAGGTTAAAAAATAACACTTTTCAAAAAAGCACTTTTCAAGCAAGAAACAAAAGCCTTTAAAATTTTTTAATGAGGTAAGACTGGAAGAGAGGCCAACTGGGACATTCAAGGGTCATATGAGTCAGTTAATGAGACTGTGTGGAAGACAGTTGTGGAAAGCAGTGAGGAGAAGAGTGTAGAGGCCTCAAGATTTCTTGTTGCAGTTGTTACCTTGTTACACTGTTAACAGATGCAGGTTACACTGTTACAAATGTAGCTAGGCAGATGAAGCAGTTGCCATTTAATTGTCTTGACCCTTTTCTGGAGCATTTGTATGCATACCAGAACTACAACCCCAAGGACATTTGGGTTTAAATGCTTAGCAGCTCCCCCCCCAATAGTCACAACCTGAATCCTCAGAGATTTATCTTTTAACGAGACCTAGTTGCCTAGCTTACAGCAAGTCTTCTTAAAGAAACCTAGATGCTTATTTTAGGTATAGCCTAGAAAGTCTACCTAAAAATTCCCCTTCATCTTATTTCTTTCCTTGTGAAACCTTGTTAATAGTCGTAGGTCTGATCAAATGTAATTTTTTAACATGACTGTAAAACTATAGTCAATATTCTAAATGTTACATCTATAGATTTTATCTCTGGATGTATATTACTTAAGTTATGGTTCATTTTTTATAGTTTTCCTCAGAGACCAGTGGGTTTCATTTGGATTTTGATATTTTAATGGACCAGAAATAACAATTTGGGTTTAAAAGACATTCCACCTGCTTCATCCCATTGTCTTTTCCCATCACTCTTCCCTCAACCTACTTTTCTCTGAGGATTCTCTCATGAATAGGCATGAAGACGTGCCCAGAGTATTGTTTGGTGTGATGAATGTGCATCTTTGAAACATTTAGGCTGTTGTTTTCTGCTGCTTGGAAACCATAGTAGGTGGTTCCATTTTCTTCTGCCTTTTCACTTGCCTCTAAATTACAAGCTGGTAAATTTTCTCTTGTGTGAACAGTAATAGAATAGTAATTGCTTTTAAGGCATGCTGCAAAAGCAAAATACAATGAAGTTGACGGTCTTATTTACTATCTCAGGTGATTCAAGGGGCGTGTGTGTGTGTGTGTGTGTGTGTGTGTGTGTGTGACAGGATTCAACCATGTTAAGATACATCTATTTAAGCCTTTTGGACTCTGGAATATTTGTACATGCTGTTAATATAGCACATTATTGTATGTTTGATTCACAGGACTATTGAAGCATGAAATTTAGGTTTGCATGGTTCTCAAATCTCTCCTAAAACATAAGTGAAAATTTACATTGGCCCATAGAATACATTTCCAACATTCAGAAATAAAATTATAATTTGTTTTTATTCATGTCTGCTAATTTTTATGCAATTTTAAGTAAGTGTCAAAAATACTTTATAAGTATAAGCAAAATACAATTGAGATCAGTTAAGCACTTCAGAAATCTTAGAGATTTCTAAAAAGAACTTTGACATTTCTTTATTGGAAGGGCGCATGCATGTGGAGG